TCCCTCCCCCCCTTCTTCCCCTTCCATCCTCCTCCCCTCCCCACCCTTCTCCTTCTGCCTCACTCCCTCCATTTCTTGCTCTCCTTCTGCCTCACCCACCCTCTCCCTCTTCATCCCTCTCGCTCCCTACCTCACTCCCTGTCTCCAGCTCGGGGAGTTGCCGAAGGCTGCTGCAGCTGCTCAGACATTTTTTGAAGCGAATCCAGATCACAAGGAGATGAGGGAGAACATCGCGACGTACCGCAAGATGGAGGGTGTAAAACCGGAGCATTTCCAAGATCTCGAGGCACAGCCTCACTGGGTGAGGAGGGAATGAAGTGAGGGGGACGGGAACGGAGGGAGTGTAGGGAAGGGCCTGTGTGGAGGTAGGTGGAGGGGGTGTGGGGAAGACCGAGAGGATGTGAGAAGGCAAAGGGTGTGGGAGAGGGGCAGAGCATGAGTGAGAGGGGAAGGGAATGTTGGAGAGCAAATGAGGGGGGAGGAAGAGGGAGGGGGCGGGGCGGGGGGGAGAGTGCGAGGGAGGGGGAGGAGAGTGAGTACCAGTGAGTGGGGACCGGAGGGTGAAGAATGGTGGGTGCAAGGGATGGGAATGGTCTGCTGGAAAGGGCGGAGGAGGCGACAGAGTGCAAGTTAGAAGGGCCAGGATCCAGGGAGAGGAAGAGGAGATAGGGGAGGGTGCAGGAGAGTGGAAAGGGAGATGGAGAGAGTGTGAGACAGGGTGTTAATGAAATTGAGGGGGGATGGAGTGAGGATGAGAAGGAGAGTGTGAGCAGACAGACAGAGTGTGAGGTATGATGGAGTGGGACAGCGTGAGAAGGGGACGGAGGAGGGTGTGAGGATGATGGGGAGGGAGTAAGAGAGATGGTAGAGGTGATGAAGGAGAGGGGGAGGGAGTAATGGTGATGGATGAGGGAGAGGGGGAGGGTGTGAGGGAGAGGGAGGACGGGGCAGAGGCGGGGAAGAGTATGAAGGAGAGGCTGAGGTTGGGAGAATGAGGGACAGAGGAGGAGGAGAGGGGAGAGTATGAGGGAGCATGGGTGTGAGTGCGGGAGCATGAAGGCGAGGGGAGGTGCGTTAGTGAGAGGGAGGAGAGCTGGTGAGTGAGGGAGAGATACATCTGATCATGCCCTTCTTCCCTCTCCTGCCTACTCCAGGTGGCCTATGACGAGGGCCTGAGATTATACGAGGAGGAGAGGTTTGAGGATGCCATCCCTCAGCTGGAGGAGGTGCCCAGGGAGTTCCTCTCTGCCCTCGAGGAGTGCCAGGCTGAGTGCGAGGGGCCTTATGATCCAGAGGAGTACAGCTACCTCACGTATCAGAGCCACCTCTATGAGGCTATCAGCGGTTGGTTCGACTGGGAGAGGCATCACCCGCTCCAGAGGCTTGGGAGGGAGGGAGCGAGCGAGGAGGGGGGAGGGAGTGTATTGGAAGGAGGAGTATGTGTATAGCAGAGAGGGAGGATGGGAGGATTGTGTCAGTGCAGAAGGAGGAACAAGGATAGTGTAGGAGGGAGGAGTGTGAGAGTGCAGAGGAAGGGAGACAGAGGGAGGATGGGAGGAAGTGTTTAGGAGGGAGGACTGTGGAAGTGCAGATGGAGGGCAGTATGAGGGAGTGCAGAGGGAGGACTGAGTGAGTGAGTGAGGAGTCCAGATTGAGCGAGGACTGCAGGCAAAGGAAATAGACATCTTCACGAAATATTCTTGCGTCTGAAGCCGTCGTCTGGGACAATTGTTTGTTGGGGGGCTTCGGAGATGTTCGATCTTTCCTTGGATGGCGCTCTCCTTCCCTCGGATGCCCCTCCTGACACGCTTACCCCTCCTGTGTCACTAGCACCCCCCACTCCACAACCCCTTCCAACCCACCCGGCCATATTCAATATATTTATGCCTCTTGACACTCCCTCTCCAGGCACTGACAGCAGAATTGATGTGATGGATTAAAAGGTTTGGTGGGGGTGCTGAGTGACACTCTTTCGGGAGACCCTCAGAACACTCTTCACCTTGATCAGACTTCCCCACCCACCCCAACTTCTCTGCTCTAAGGAAAGCATCTACAGCCCCTCTCATTCCTCTTCAGAGCTGAATCTCTCCAGACTGGGCAACGTCCTAGCAAATCTCTCCAGACTGGGTAACGTCCTCTGCACACCCTCTCCATTACGATCACATCCCTCCTTATAGTACAGAACTACATATCGTACTCGCGTCGTGGTCTAGCTAACGTCATAAACGTCTCTGTCCTAAACACCTTTCTCATGTAAGCAGTGCCTTGACTGATTAAAGGCAAGCATCCCCAATGCCTTCTCCCCAGTGCCTCTTTTAATTAAACTGTCCTGCCACCTTTCAGGATCTACAGACTTGGACACCGAGCTCTCTCTGATCCTCCCCATAGAAACATAGAAATTACAGAACATAGGAGCAAGGAGGAGGCCATTCAGCCCTTCGAGCCTGTTCCGCCATTCTTCACGATCATGGCTGATCGTCAAAGTCAATAGCCTAACCCTGCTTTCTCCCCATAACCTTTGATCCCATTCACCCCAAGTGCTATCTATATCTAAGATAACAAGGTGTAGAGCTGGATGAACACAGCAGGCCAAACAGCATCATAGCAGCAGGAAGGCTGACGTTTCAGGCCTAGACCCTTCATCAGAAATGTCCCCCTCCACCCACACATCAACGAATACGGGTCATGTTCGGACATTGAGCAGTTTTTCCACCGCCTCCGCCCTCTCTCCCACTGCAGCTCTCTCGTAATCTCTTCGGCCTTGAAACTGCTCGACCATGTCCTGAAGCAAACCAGGTACTACAGCCACATCACCTTTCTTAGTACCTGCCTACGGATCCAGATCATCCCCAATGGACTACAGTCCACATTCAGGCCTTCCCAATTTGGCCCCAACCGTGACAATGTCTACATTCATAGCATTGAGATCCTTCAGAAGCGTTCTCCCTGCGACTCCTGAAACACACACTCGCAGCAATGCGCCGGCATCTCCGGGCACTACAATCAAGCCTACCCCAGCTCAGAGCCTCCCTCTCCCAGACCTGCAAAGGACCTCTCCTGTTTTTTATTCTCCGTAGGATCCACAGCCTGAACTCACAATTCTACTCAGCTTTATCGGACACTACAAACCATAAGTACAGTAAACTTACTGGTGCCTACCACCCAAAACGGGCTTCCTCCACCTCCCAAATCCCCAGCCGTACCCAGGACCTTCCCCACAATGTGCCCGCCGCCATTGGCCATGAGGCCACAGTCGGAGAACCCACAGATGGCGTTACATCCGCCACCGCCGGGTACCCCACTTCCGGGACAGCGAACGCCATCACTGCTGATGCCACCGCCGCCATTTCGGAGACCAACACCACAGACACTGAAGACGCGCCTACTGTCACCACTGCTGCCGCCGCCTACCCTGCTCCGCCCACCGCCTCCACAGCCACCAGCTCCAGAGGAGACAGTAGCACCCAGCCCTGCCGAGTCTTCACCATCCCCCCAGACCTCCCCCTTACTGAGGACGAACGGTCAGTCCTCAGTAAAGGGCTCACCTTTGTCCACCTCCACCCACACATCAACGAATACAGGTCACGTTTGGACATTGAGCAGTTTTTCCGCCGTCTCCGCCCCCATTTCTGATGAAGGGTCAGGCCCGAAACGTCAGCCTTCCTGCTCCTATGATGCTGTGTTCATCCAGCTCTACACCTTGTTATCTCAGATTCTCCAGCATCTGCAGTTCCTACTATCTCCGCTATCTATATTTAGCCGCCTCTTGAATACATTCAATGCTTTGGCTTCGACTACTTCATGTGGTAATGAATTCCACAGGCTCGCCACTCTTTCGGTGAAGGAATGTCTCATCTCTGTCCAAAATCGTATACCCGAATCCTCAGACTGTGACCCCTGGTTCTGGACACACCCACCATCGGGAATGCCCTCCCTGCATCCACCCTGTCCAGTCCTGTAAGAATTTTACAAGTCTCTATGAGATCCTCCTTAATTTGTCTGAACTCTAGCAAAAACAATCCTAATTTAGCAATCTCTCCTCATACGTCAGTCCTGCCAACCACAGAATCAGCCTGGTAAACCTCCAGAAGGAGTCCCAACTGTTTGGCATGTGCTCCCTCACCTTGTTCGCCCTCCCTACTTTATATTGCCTCACGCTAAAGTCCATCTGCCCATGGTCTGCTGAGTTGAACAGCCGCCACCAATCATCCTGTAGATCCCTCCTCACTATTTACCTGGCCACCCACCTGTAACCTCTCTCCGTTGTCCCCGGTTGTACCCCTCTGAAGCGTGTCCTAGCCCCAGTCCCACTTCATTCCAGCAGGTGGATCGAACCTCTTCATTTTCTAGTCAGTTTGATTTCTGACTGAGATCCAGCGAAGGCAGGAGGGCTGCTGGGAAAGTTTGGAGGGTTTTTTTGAGGTGAGCGGGTAAGGGGAGCAAGGTGACACAGTCAGCAATGGGAAGTCGGCAGGGATGGGGTGGGGGGGGAGCTGGAGGGTGTTGTGCGGGTGGCCTAACTCCTGTCTTTCTCTGCAGATCACAATCTGCAGGTGCTGACCTGTGCCCAGGAGTGCGTGGGGGAGCTGAGCAATAAACCAGGTCATAGCGAGTCCCGCACGAACTTCCTGCCCTCCGTTTTCTACCTCCTGCAGGAGGCCTATCACAAGGGTAAGCAAGGCATCCCAACGGGTGGGAGACAGATGAAGGAGAGAGACGAT